CTTTGAGTAGACCTTAGATACTGGCAGGTGATTTCAACACCTACTTAACGAGTGATGACAAGAAGGATAGATCTGGGACAAATTCCCATTCCATAGACTCTTTTAGTGACTGTATGCATCATAACCAATTAATAGATGTTGATTAGGTAGGTGATAGATTCACATGGGAAAGAGATATGTTAAAGGAGAGAATTGACTGGGTTTTTATAAACACTGAATGGAACTATACTTCTCTTACTAAAGTCCATCATCTTAGCAAATTTAAATATGATCACAAGGCTTTTATGTGACAAAATGCCCCAGATACTTATGAGAGGCCTAAACCACCTTTTTGTTGTCAAGTAGCTTGGTTAGTGGAAGATGGGTTTGATAAATTAGTAGAGAAATGTTAGGGTACAAGAAATTGGAATAATAAGGTGCAACTGTTTGATAAGGGGGCTGTAGATTGAGACAAAAATAAAGTGGGAAGTCTAAATACTAAAGAACAAAATATTTTCAAATGATTACCAAGAGCAGAAAAGGCCAGAAATCACAAAGATAATCAATATTTGGTTCAAGTTGAAAAGGACATTTGGAAGGATTACAATAAACTTGAAAAGGACCTTTGGAAGGATTACAATAAAGTCCTAGCTCAAGAATTTGGTTTCAGAAATCCAGATGCCATTGATTGAAATGGGGAGACGACTATAAGAGTAAATTTTTCACACTTTTGCCATCATAAGAAGAAGAAGAAATAGAATCGAATCATTAAAGAATTGCTTAGATGAGTAGGTTTTTGATCAACAAACTCTCAAGGATAAGGCGATAGAGTACTATAAACAACAACTGTGGAGCCAATACACAATCTCAATTCCTATACCTCAGTGCAAAGGAATCTTTGATTCTTAACGGTGAGGGGGGCAACGAAGAAATCAAAATAGCAACTTTTGAGCTTGATGCTTTCAAAGTCCCTAGCCTAGATGGTATTCAGGCTTTCCTCTACCATGAATTTTGGCACATAACTGGTGTGTCAACTTGCAATTTGGTGAAAGATTTCTTTACAAATCCATAGATGGTCAGAGAGATAAATGACACTAACCTTGTCCTTATTCCAAAGACGGAGAATCTGAAAAATCTTAAAGATTTTATACTAATTTCTCTTTGTAATGTCAGTTATAAAATAATTACAAAGGTGATCAGTAGAAGACTCAAAGACACTATAGGGAAGGTCATGGGGCATCATACTTCAGGTAGGCAAAACAGTGATAACATAATTATTGTACAAGAAATAATCCATTCTATGAGAAATAAAAGAGGGAAAAAATGATGGATGGCAATGAAAGTTGATTTGGAACAAGTCTATGATAAGTTAGAATGGTCCTTTATACAGGATACTCTTTTAGACAGTCGGGTTAGAAGAAAAGATGTGCGAAGCACCAGCTCCTACTTTAGAGTCTTGTGGAATGGGAAAGCTACTAACTAATTTAATCTGTCGAGGGAGATACGGCAAGGAGATCCTATATCCCCCTACATTTTCACTTTATGGAGAGACTGAAACATATCATTTGGGATGCTTTAAAGGAGCACATGTGGGAACCTATTTATCTTAACCAACGAGGTCTGGCAATATCTCACTTATTTTTTTTGTAGATGACTTTGTTCTTTCTGGGGAGGCCTCTACTAGCTAGGTGGATATAATGCTAGCTTGTATGGAGAAATTTTGTCTTGAGGGCAAAGAAATATTGTAAGTTTACTTCTCCAAGAATGTCCACTCCTATTTTTGCTCCAATTCTAGGAAAAACTTGGAAGAAACTTTTAGGGTAGAAGAAAAGTTGTCTTAATTTAGTAGGCAAAGAAGTTTTCATTAAAGCATTGCTTTCTACTCTTCCATCCTACCATATGTAGACCATGCTTTTTCCCAAGAAACTCTTAGGTGAGCTTGAGAAGAAAAGTAGAAATTTTTGCAGGGAGAAAAGGGAAATAAGAGAAAGATGTATCTTCTTGCATAGATTCAAGTTACCCAAGCTAAAGATGAATGTGGCTTGGGAATAAGAAAGTTTAGAAAGAAAAATGAAGCTTTTATTATAAAGTTCTGTTGGGACTTTCTCACTAATTAAGAAGCTTTGTGGGTTAGAGTTCTCAAAGGGAAATATCGATGTGAAGAACTTTCGATCCTGGACGTCTAAAAGAAAAGGAACTCCTCTCTCACATGGAGAGGTATCTATCACACTTGGCAAATCTTCAAATCTGGATTAGGGAAGAAGATTAGAAATGGATTTAACACGTTCTTTTGGATGGATAACTGGTTGACATTGAATGTTCCCTTAATAGACTTGGTGCCAGGCCTTAAGAACATGATAAATAGGGAGGAGTGAGTTGTTGACTACATTACACCTTGGGGCGAATGGGATAGAACTAAACTAGAATTATGGTTCTAGTCTCTGGTTTTTGAAAGGATCATTTGTGCACATCCACCATATGAGGAGAGAGGAAAGGATAAATTCCTATGGAAACTTTTTCCTAATGGTTGTTTTCCTATCAAATGTGCATATTGTTTTTTTTTTTTTTAGGTACTTGACAAAGAGCAGACAATGTAGTGCAGTAGAGGATGCATTATGGCATTAATAACAGATCTACATATCCCTTTGGATGTGATCAAGAAGAAGACTCCATGCATATGATAAAGGACTGTGTGGATGCTAAGGAGAGGTGGGTCTTATTTTTATCTCCATCAAAGCTGAATTGTTTTACGGACTTACTAGGCGCTAACTGGGTTAAATGGAATTTACAACATGAAAATGGCAAAGATTTCACTAAAAAGATCTCTTGGCCATTCTTTTTGGATATGTATGTTGGGATATATGGACTTCCTGATGTAACAAACTTTTTGATAGAGGAACATCAGAAGAGAATTAGACAGTCTTGCCGAGTCTATTTAGAGCTTGCTAGACCAAGACATGCTAATGAATTGGTCTTTCTATAACCATTTTTGCTCACAGGAAGTTGCTAATCACCATCCCAAAGAAGGTTTTGTTCAAGGCCTTGCGGATGGATTTGTTTTAGATGATGGACAAAGTGGGTTATGGAGGAACAATTTATGATGATAAAGGGAATTGGCTGGGTGGTTATAGTTGTAAACTCATAGCCGTTTCCCAGCCGTTGCTGAGGTAATTGGCATCATCAAAGGCCTAAGCCTCTATTAGAATCGGGATTATAGAAAGATTGAACTTTTTTACTGATTGTATAGAAGCTATTAATATGATTACTAAAGGATGTGATAGATCTCATCTGTTTAGAGATGTTGTTGATGAAGCTTGTTTCTATGTATTTAGGGATTGGCAAGCTTTCATTCATCATGCTACTAGGGATAGGATTGCCACAGCTAACTACTTAGCTAAGCAATCACACAGGCTTACTGGAAATTTTTATATCATTGATCATCCTCCACCTTTAAGACATTTGGAGGTGGAGAGGTGATGAAGGGTGGCTAGTTTTGATGTTTTTCTTTTGTTGTATTCTTTCTAGTGAAGTAATAGATTTTCAGTTTTGATTAAAAAAAGAAAAAGAAAACAACAGAGAAAACGTGTATAATGAAAAAGAAAAAAGATTACCACAAATAGAAAGTATAAAACTAAGATGCCCCAACAAACATAAAATAAGTAAAAAGCCTAGAACAGTCAAAGAAAAAACCCAAAAAAACAAAATCTACATTTGACAGTAGGTCCAAGCTCTAGCAAGTGATGGGAGACCGCCCAAAGCACAAGTCACTACTTACACCAGCCGTCCCTTGTCCATGCACATTACAAACAAATTTGTAGACTTACTTCCATAAAATAATGTAACTACAAGGCATCAAGCAAGCCCAATGATGCAAGAAGCCAATAGCATTTGAGGTGTTGAAAGTGACCTTGGTAACCATTGATGATTGATTATGAAAGCTAGTGAGAGTTTTTTTTTTTTTTTGGGCATGCTTTATTGACTTGTATATTGCAAAAGAGAAACGCGCTTTGTGGTGGACCGCCTAAACTCATGGACAAGAGTTGGTTTGTCACAAATTTCATGTATCTTAACAATCGTGTCATTTTGTCCACAAAAAACTTGATGTCTTTCAAAATTTACACGGTTTCTATGTCAAATATGAAAGACTACAGTCATTAAAAGATTTTAAGAAATTTATCATTAAATTCTAAAAATTTACTTTTATATTTCGTAAAATTTATGACTATTGACTAAACGAAGATTGTAACATTCTTGAGATTTGACATATTTTCAAAATCTGACAATAAAATATCCTAAAACATAGCGTATCTTCGATTTTTAAAATAATTTTGTATTTTAAATGTTTTTTATGATATCGATATTTTAAATTTGTTTAGGATAAAGTTTTAAAAAATTTAAACCTTACTACAGTTTTCTTTCATAACGGCGTATTTTAATTTTAGGGGGGCTTATGTTGAAAGACCGAGATATAAGAATATTTAGCTCAAAATCCTTTAAAAATTAACATTATTATGAAACAACCAAAATATAAGGGAAGACTAATCATTTTAACTTTTTCATCCCAAATATTAATCAATAAAAATATATTTTATAATTTTTAATGAAATATTCTCAATGGTATGAAAAATTAAGCTCTGAAAAACTAATACAAGGTAAATGTAATTTACTCTTATTATTTTTAGGATGAAAGCAAAATGCCTTCAATAATCACACTCTTGTTTATAAAAACAAAAAATACCAGACACTTCCTATAACGTCGATTTGCCTGAAATATTTTATCTCCATGATTTCAATTATTGAAAGGAGGATACACATATTGAAGTAAACCGAACAATAGGTTCCATTCCGTGGGGTTTACGTTTGGATTGATGCCACCGTTAACGTTACTTCATCTAATTTCTTATAATCAATATTCGGTCAAAATTGGCACCTTTCTATAAGGAAACAAGTCCATTGACTCAGTCACTAACTCTCAAGAGATGGGACCCATAGAAGAAAATTATAAACAAATTGGATCCTTCATTCACGGCACTAGCATCTTGAAGATTCCAATGCTGTGCTTCTGCTGAGACATAAGCCTGTTCTCTATTGTGAACATACAGATTTTATGATCATATATACATGGATCAGCCAACACGATTGTTCTTGTTTTCAATAGCTCTTCTCCAATCCATATCAGGTAATTGTAAATCATAAGTGGAAATTAAGACTAGCAAATGTAATACTACTGAGCCTGATGTCTCTTGATATTCCTTTTGCAGGTGTAACCTCAACAAAGTTCACAGTGGTTAACAAATGCAGCTACACAGTGTGGCCAGGCATTGCTCCAAGTCTTAACAATAATCCATTATCAACCACCGGTTTTGTTCTTAAAACTGGTGAGTCCAGGACCATCTCTGTGCCAACTTCTTGGAATGGCCGTTTTTGGGGTCGAACTCAGTGCGCACAAGACTCCACTGGAAGCTTCTCTTGTGTCACCGGTGACTGTGGCTCCGAGAAGCTGGAATGCAAAGGCAGGGCAGGCACACCACCTGCGACATTGATAGAAATTTTTGTTGGCGAATTCCCAGGGCTTGATTTTTATGACGTGAGCTTGCTAGATGGGTTCAATCTTCCTGTAGCGGTTGTTCCTCACGGTGGTTGTGGAGAATGCAAGAGCACATATTGTCTGGCAGATATGATCCAACTATGCCCTTCAGAGCTGAGGGTAATGAGCAAAGACGGAGAAGTGGTGGCGTGCAAGGGCCCTTGTGACGTAGATACAAAAACTTGCGCCCAAAATAGTTCCCAGCCCTCCTCCTATTCAACACTATTCAAGAGCGCTTGCCAACATGCCTATAGCTACCCGCTAGATGATCGTCTAAGCACGTTCACGTGTGAAGGTGCAGATTATAATATCACCTTTTGTGAATCACCCTACGCAAATTGGGACACTTCTGGCTCCTCGTCATGCACGGAAACCATCACAACATCTCATTACATCAAGGATCCAAATACAATAAGCTCCAAAGGGGGTTTGTTCACACTAGGGTTCTTCAGTCCAGAAAATTCCACAAATCGCTATGTGGGAATTTGGTACATGTCCAATTCAACTATTGTATGGGTAGCTAACAGAAATCGACCATTAAGGGATACTTCAGGAATTTTTAAGGTATCTGAAGATGGCAATCTTATCGTATTAGATGGGCAAAACCAAACCATTTGGTCATCAAATGTATCAAATATTTCATCTACTACTAGTTGTCAGATTTTAGATTCTGGAAACCTTGTCCTAACCGATAACTTGACGAAAACCATATGGCAAAGTTTTGAGCATCCTTCAGATACATTGTTGCCAAGCATGAAAATTACAAGCAACGAAAGAGCAGGGGAGAAACAAAAGTTAACAGCATGGAAAAATCAGTCTGATCCATCCCTTGGCAATTTTTCTATGAGCCTAGAACAACTAAATTTTGCAGAACTGTTCATATGGAATGGAACTAGCCCCTATTGGCGTAGTGGTCCATGGAATGGCCAAGGCCTTACAACAGTCCTCAGGATGAGTTCCGAGTATGACAATGGTGCTGACGAGATGGTTGTTAGGTTATCAAATGGGTCTGACATCAAAGAGATGGTTGTTTTGAATGCAAAAGGGAAGTTATTACATAAACAATGGGATGATACTAAGAGGAGATGGCTAGAAACAAATCTTTTTCAAAATTCAGATTGTGATGTCTATGGTATATGTGGGGAATTCGGAATTTGCAATTCAAAGAGCGCACCAATCTGCAGTTGTTTGAGTGGGTTTGAGCCAAGAAATAATGAGGAATGGAATAGACAAAATTGGACTGGTGGTTGTGTCGGGAAATCAACTCAGCGATGTGAGGAAATGAAAAATGGGAGTTTCAATGGAAAGGAAGATACCTTTTTCCATCTGCAAAATGTTAAAGCACCAAACTTTGGAGAACAATCATCTCATTCAGAAGATGAATGTAGAACCCATTGCTTGGAGAACTGCACTTGTAAAGCATATTCATATAATTCAGTGCTTGGCTGTATGACTTGGAAAGAAAATCTAATTGACATACAACAGTTCTCAAATGCAGGAATTGACTTATATATTCGTGCAGCCAAGTCAGACTTTGGTATCTAAATTTTCTTAGACTACTTGAAATTTAGTTCTTTTAACTCTATTTTTTGGCATGAATTTCCTTACCTTTGTCTTTCATCACAGATAAGAAGAAGCATAGAACATTCATCATTATCATTGTTGTAGTAATAGGAACTATCATTATCAGTGTCACTTGCGCATGCTTCTTATGGAAATGGAAGGCAAAACATTCAGGTATTATTCCTTTTCATATCATCTTAGTTTCAAATCCTACCACATCTATTAGCTTTAAAATGACATAGGCATTCAGGATTTAAATATATAAGGCATTTTCAAAAGCAATATTCATATAGGTAGATGTCTTTTGGTTAGTCATGTTTCCACATTTTTCAAATGAAGCACTTCCATCTCTTTCTCTCTGTAAATACATTAAATTCATACGACCAGCAGGAAAACGGCATAGCAAACAGGTCTTGTTAAAAAGGGATGGTGCAAATGTAGACAAAACAAGCGGCAATATTATTGGAAAATTGTCACAAGTTAAATTCCAGGAGTTATTGGTCTATGATTTTGAAAAGGTTGCAATGGCTACAAACAACTTTCAATTGACCAATAAACTTGGGCAAGGCGGTTTTGGTCCCGTCTATAAGGTATTTAACTTCACAAATTATTAGTCAGTTTAATCGGCAAAAAAAAAAAAAATCAGTTTAATTCAAATTCATTATGTGTAACAACTGTTTAATGGGATTTTCTTCAAGGGAACACTCCAAGATGGTCAGGATATAGCAGTTAAGAGATTATCAAGAGCATCTGGACAAGGACAAGAGGAATTCATGAATGAGATGATTGTCATTTCCAGGCTTCAACATCGTAATCTCGTAAAACTTTTAGGTTGTTGTATTGAAGGAGAAGAAAAGATGTTGATCTATGAGTACATGCCAAATAAAAGTTTGGATGCATTTATTTTTGGTTGGTTTTTCTGATCCCTTATGGTCTAGCTCTTTCTAGTCATATGCATAATTAAGGGAACAAGACAACATTTGTTTGTAACAGTCTTTCTTACAGATATTTGAGTTTTCCTTATGGTATGGACAAAACTTATATAACCCTCTCCTCTACTATTGTAGATCCAGAGAAAAGCAAACTTCTAGACTGGGGAAAGTGCTTTGTCATTATTGAAGGAGTAGCTAGGGGAGTACTTTATCTTCATAGGGACTCTAGACTAAAAATTATACATAGGGACCTAAAGGCAAGTAATATCTTGCTAGATGAGAACTTGATTCCAAAAATATCAGATTTTGGCATGGCTAGAATTTTCAAAGGAAGTGAAGATCAAGCTAACACAAGAAGAGTTGTCGGAACCTAGTACGTTTTCCTTCCCTATCTAATATTATAGTAGCATACTAACTAGTGAGTACTATAACAATTATTTGTTTTACTCAAAAATGCAGTGGCTATATGTCTCCAGAATATGCTATGGAAGGATTATTTTCAGAGAAATCAGATGTGTTTAGCTTTGGAGTTTTACTATTAGAGATTATAAGTGGAAGAAGAAACTCAAGCTTTTATAATAATGAGCACTCTCTTAGCCTTCTAGGATTTGTAAGTCTCTACTTTTTATTAACTTCCTAAATACCTAATTAGAAAGTTCTATTATTAATTATTGATTTTACTCTCAACTCTAAGGCTTCCAAAGGTAACAATTATATATGATTCTTTTGTTATGTGTTTTAGGCATGGAAATTATGGAATGAAGGAAACATTGTAAAGCTAATAGACCCGAAAACATCTAATCAAAACGTGGAGAAGGATATATTGAGGTGCATACACATAGGACTTCTGTGTGTACAAGACCTTGCAATAGAGAGGCCAGGTATGAGCACTGTAGTTTCTATGCTTAATAGTGAGATTGTCAATCTTCCTCCTCCAAGGCAACCTGCGTTCATCCAATGGCAGAGTATATTGAATCAATTGACCCCAGAAGAGAATCAAAGATTATTTTCTAACAACGAAGTTAGTATTAGTGACATACAAGGCAGATAGCAACATTACCAATCTATGAGTAAAATAGCATAGTTTTGATAAATAACTTCCTAGTTGTTACAATCTTGGTGGTGTGATGTATCTAGTGCTATGCATGTGCTTTCCCCATTTTTTGTGTTCTTTTTTAATTTAATTTCTGTTTTTCAGATAAGGATTCCATCTGAAATCATGGTACGAATTGTAACATTTAGCAATTTTAAATCCATTCAGGTTTTACTCAAAAGTTTCTCTAACATTGTCACAATAATGAAACAGAACTGGTCACCTGCAGTTTAAATCCATTCAGGTTTTACTCAAAAGTTTCTCTAACATTATCACAATAATGAAACAGAACTGGTCACCTGCAGCCAGTCACGCAATTGTGAGATGAGTGCTCACTTTATTGTTCCCTTAAAATCAGTTACTTAAAATTACTCATAAAAATCCTACCAAACTTCATAATTTCAGACTAAGCTCCACCAGAGTTTACTCCAGTTCTAGTTCTTTTTCGCTGTTTTTGGGGAAGGATTTTAATTGAAAGCATGTGTGAATTGTAATATTAATTATTTGAAACCCGTAAAGTTACCAAAAGAAATAAAAGATCTATTCCTCAACTGATGTTTCCCCAAGAAAACTAATGTTGCAGTTGCAGATGATCATATTATATTTATGATCCTTATGCTATGCATGATTGTTTTAGATTATTACAATGATGAAATATCAAAATCTTAGATGCTTTCTTCCATGTTTTAGTCACTAGAAACTGTAAGATTCATAAATTATTTGCAGCATCGCTTGGAACCTCTTGTACATTTAATGTATCACCAAAACATATACTAGTTTGATTATACAGCCTTCCAATGGTAAAAATATGGCAGAATAATTTTTCTGACTAGATTTACCCAAAGTACCTTTTTAGCACCTCTAATGACCCATAAAATCTATCAAAAATAAAGCAAACAGAACACAAACTACAACAAGTTCTGTAAAATTTCAAGGAAAGTGAAAAAAATATTATCATACAATGCCTAAAACACAACATCCCATATCCAGATGTAGCTAGTTCCAGTTAAGTGGTGGAAGTTAAGAACTAATTTTTGAACGTTTGGGAAATAAATTAATAGGCAGAAAATTACACAGCTTTTCACGACATGTGAAGTAGTTATAATTAACTTGTGAAGTCCAGAAAACATGGCTACTTTCAACCAATGCATATTGTATAATCTCTGATCAGTGATCACTTAAGGAGTTTCAAATGTCGGGTGAAGGTGGAAAATTACAAATCCATCTTCTATCACTTGTATAATAAACCAACCCCGGGTAAATAACACCTTAGATTATCTTAGAATTTAGACCCAAAATAAATAGACTTGCACTAAGACAATTACTGTTTCCAAAATACATTACACTAGAACAGTGGCTACGCAGAATTACATGATGCTGAGACAGGAAGTCCGTCTCCTGTATAACCATAAGCACTTTCTATATTCGAACCTACTTACTCTACCAACCCTTTCCCTTTCTGCCAATGTTACTGTAATTTAAGTATTACAACTTTAATGGCTTTCATCGTCAACCACCAGAAGCGATCAAATTACAGCCTCCTGCCTATAAAGCTAACAAATATAGAAATTAAAGCACCACCAATATTGTATTTCAAGCCTAAAATTAAAAACACTACATCAATTGCCTTAAACAAAAATATATTCAATCATTATTGTATAGTCGTCCCCAAGACCTTAAGAAAATTTCAGGTCTTTTCGACCAAACATGTCAAAAACACCTCAGACTTATCTCTGTTTTCCTTACAGCAATGCTCTTGTTCATGGTAAAGGGGCGTACCTTTATAAGCTGGAATATCATTAAGAACTCCAAACTGCCATCAAAGAATTCTCTTCTCCTCTGTTCTCAATTTCAGACAAAAATAAACCTTTTTGTAGTAGTGAAAAGCCAATGCCAGAGCACTGTTGTACCACCTAACTCTAGAGACTTGATATTAAATTTGTTTACTAACATAGAACCACTTTTTAAATTATAAAATGCCCAAAAATCTAAACGTTTTAAAACTTTTCTTTAAAACATCTCAGGGCACTTTTCAAAGGATGAGATTTTTCAAAAAACATTGAAAGTCCAAATCTTGTTTTGGAACCAAGTTAGTGTTTCAATCTCTATAGTAAATTCCTGATTAAACTCCATGACATATTACAAAACCCGGGTTCAAATTAAACTTCATTTGAACCAGTACTCACTCTATATAACTATTCTATAACCGTATTTAACCTGTTACGATCTACAAGGTTTAATACATTCACTACCCTGATTTCCAACCTGCTTAATTGAACATCCATAATCATAATTATAATAACAGTTAAGAACTAATATCATACACTTATATAAAGGCCATCTTCAATGATGGCACTTACCTGTATGTCGGTTGTCTTCACCCACACATTTATGTTAAATACAAGTATCCAACATAAGCCCAAAAGATATATATACAACTTCCATGTATAATAAAGTTATCTACAGAATGTCTCGCTCTTGCTTCACTTAGTAACCTTTCACTTTATAAGTTTCACATTTCTTCTTCTTTTGGCTCCCGTAGGCCGAACCCCACACACACACACACACACATTTATGAAACTTCATAACCATTGCTTCTAAACTTGAACACTTTAATCTTAAATCAATTCTTATCATTTAAACACTCATAATTATTTGCACACCTGATCACTTTCAACAACTCTAAATCAATTAACTCTCTAATCTTTTAGCCATCTATCCAAGGTACCTTATATAAAGCAATTAAAACTCCCTTAAACCAATAAATCGAGCTTCAAAATTCCATCCAACAACATTAGGTATCTGATGAGACGAGGACTGGGCCTCAGTTGACTTATATTAAAAGAAAGCCCAAGGGCAATTGAGGGATTGTATGGGTGACGGTTAGAGGAGAGAGACGGGGGAAATATTGTTATATAGGGAACTCTGTTATGGGAGGGCGGTATGCATGTTGAGAGAGAGCTTGGGAGAGGTCTGTGTCTCTCGAATACACAGAGACAAGTGGCTGTAATCGTTCTGCATGTTTTGCCTTTCTTCCCTTTAGGTCCATACCCTGAGAGTGAGCCCTTTTTATCTTCAGTTGTCATTAATACAGACTGAGGTCCATCATTAAGGTATCAGAGCCGTCACGATCCGGCGAATGGTGACTCGAATGGAGCAGAAGGTTGAGCATATTGATACACAGCTGGTTCAGACTGAGCAAGGTATTGAGCTGCTACGGGGAGATGTATCAACCCTCAAATGTGACATGGCCACGATACAATCCTTGATGACAGAGGTGCTGTCAGAAATACGCCAGGCGAAGCGACCCGAAGCGATCGGTACCCGAATCGAAGAATCCCCTGGGTCTAAGGTTACATCAGAGTCCCCACGGACAGAGGAACAAGGCGAGACGGAGGTGAAGGAATCCCGTAGTGACTTCTCTAATTTGAGAAAACTTGACATGCCTTCGTTTTCGGGAGAGGATCCGCTAGGTTGGATCTTCAGGATTGAGCGATACTTCAAGCTCAATCGGATTAATGATGATGACAAATTGGATGCTGCAGTGCTCTGTTTTGAGAACCGGGCCTTAAACTGGTTCTAGTGGTGTGAGATTCAAAGTCCATTGCGTAGCTGGATTGAGCTTAAACGGGCTCTGGTGTTGCGTTTCCACCCGTCGCAGTGTGGGGGCACGTATGAGATGCTAATGGCACTCCGGCAGAGAGGGACCATGGCCGAATATATTGATCGTTTTGAGCTTCTCTCGGCCACTCTGGACAAGTGTGACGACAAAGTGTTAATCGCCGCCTTCTTGAATGGATTACACCCGGACATCAAAGCCGACCTCCGGATGATTCCGTTGCATTCCATCTGAGAACTCATGGATATGGCTTTACGGATTGAGGAGCACAACTGGGTCAAGTCTTCACTCCACGAGTACTACGTTGACCGAACCCCCAAATTGTGGGGCACGGACAAATGGGCCACACACCCCAGCCCAACTCATTACACAGCCAAAACACCTAAACCGACGACCCACACCACAGCGATCTCGGATGACACTAAGAGCACACGCGTCGCGGAGAAGGTTGAGATACCGGTGACTGTGTAATTACCAAGTCAGTGCCGAAGAAACTCACGGATGCTGAAATTGAGAGGCGGCGGGAACTTGGCCTCTGCTTCAAGTGCGACGAGAAGTTTCGACTGGGACACAGATGTAAAAAGAAGCAGCTGCAAGTGTTGATTCTAGCTGAGGAGGCCGATAATGGTGAGAACCCAGAATCAGATGTTGTTACCCCTGCGACGACTTCTGATAATTCCCCCGACGCACCAACGACTGATGGGCAGCTTATGGCTCTTTCCCTTAATGCATTGGCAGGCGTGACCGGGGGGAAACCATCAAACTCAAGGGCACGGTGCTCGGTCATTCCGCATTGATCCTTATCGACTGCGGAGCCACACACAGTTTCATTCACCACGATTTGGTCAATGCTCTCAACCTGACTCTTGACCCGCGACTATCTTTCACTGTTCAATTGGGCAATTCTCGTCATGTGCAAGGCAGAGGAATCTGTAGGGATATGCCCATTGTGATCCAAGGGCTCCACATTAGGCAACACCTCTATCCTTTTCAGCTGGGTGGGTTAGATATCATCCTCGGTGTAGACTGGCTCGAGTCACTGGATGAAGTTTTGGTGAGTTGGAAAAGGTCGACCCTCAAGATCGATATAGGTGGAGAATGGGTTTGTTTGCGAGGTGATCCGTCTCTACAAAAGTCAAAAATGTTGTCGTCTACGCTCCTTAAGTCCATGTGCTCAGTAGATGCCGGTTTCCTAATTGAGTTTACTGAGCTCAAAGTAACTGATATAAGCCTTACATAGGTGGTCGCAGATGTTCAAGGCCTTCTTAGGGAGTTCCCTGCAGTACAAGTACAACCTACTGGCCTGCCTCCTCACCGCTCGGTCGACCATACCATTGAGTTAAAACCAGGAGAGTCTCCGCCTAATATACAGCCTTACCGTTACCCCTACTGCCAGAAATCAGAAATCAAGAAGATGGTGCACGATATGTTACAAACCGGTCTGATTTGTCCCAGCAGGAGCTCTTTCTCTAGTCCGATTCTACTGGTCAAAAAGAAGGACGGTAGCTGGCGGTTTTGCACTGACTATAGGCCTTGAATAAAATCACCATTCAGGACAAGTT